CCGGGCACTTCAAAAACAGGCGCTTCTATGAAGTACTGTGCAGCCTCAATTAAAAGGACCACAGCAGAATCTGGATGAGATATGTGACATTCATTCATGAAGCCCATGAGCAAGGAGTGTATGGTGAGTGCGTGCGTACGAGTGTCCAGCCGCGGAAAAAAGTTTCGAGGGTCGAATGAGGGGCGAAGTGTCAGTGCTGATTTCGAGCAGAACAGACACATTCCTGCCTTCTGCTGGCCATATGACCTCTACCCTTATTCCTGAGGAAACAAAAGCAAACGCGAAACTTCATGTCGATGTTTCGTGCAGCCCACATTTCGGTAATTGCCTCATCACGGGCACCGAGTAGAAGAGCCTTTGCCCGGCAAACATCCAACGCGGGGTGGCCGGAAGGGAAAGAGGGCGTCAACGGCTATTTGCCGATTTGCTTGTCATAATTTTTGGCTCATTCGACAACTTAGGGGTCCTGCTACCCGGAACACGGTACATTTCCTGCAGAAGATACTCATGCTTAGGTGTTAAGTATGGTTGTGGCCCCCCAGTGTGGCCTTTTGGGGCCTTGACGTGGCATTGATCCCATGTTGAACATGGAAGCGATCCGAGCCGCTCGCGGCAGGGAATGTTCTCACTCCGCGTGCAGCCAGCTGTTGGGTCCTGCGCGACGCCTGACGCTCGTTCCGTTCCCCCTTGTGGTCTTGCGAAGGCGGCAGGGACGGTGTGAGGCCTTCATATCTGTCCTTGGAGTAGGATGGTCCATGTGCGGCATTTGAGCGGACGGCAACGTGATAGATTCTGTGCATTTAGTTGTGCTGGAGAAGGTCAAGAACGGAGGAAGGAAAAGAATCTTTCTTCTGACTTTCAACCAGAAAAAGTGATTGCAAAAGAAGATTGATGGCTCAATACCAATTGTAGCAAGAACTTCCAATCATCAGTGTTGATGTAGTTACTGTGATAGTGACAAGAAAGTCATGGCATGAGTTTACGCTCTCTTTTGGTGACACGACGCGCAGGAGAAACAAACGACTTCGAGAGCAAAGCGAAGAATCGGAAGACACCAAAATTACATTTCAGATTGTGTATTATTACTTTGATTGGCTTGTTGTTCTTTCTATGAGTACTTTTTAACATGTTACCGTATTCTGATCGGTCGACCATACATCCGTCGCCGTCAAGTGCATACTCAAACGAGGCGTCTTTCCTTGTCTACGAAATCCTACCTTGTACTCGTACCATACTCAGTCAGATTCAGCTCCTTCATCTTCCTCAGTAGACGACGAGGAAGAATAGTCTCCACCTTGGTAACCTCCGAGCAAGCGAATCGAGCTCGCGTTTTCCATTTCTCCCGCTGTGAGGGGAATGACAAAGTTGCCTCCAAGCTCATCTGTATCTTCCACCTCTTCCACGCGCCCCCCGCTAGACTGTCTGCCCGCCCTCGCCGTTCTTCTATCTCCTCGCGAGCTTTTTATACCGCCCATGGGTTGGCCTAGGAGATCCCCCAAATGTCTCAACCCCCTCTCCTCGTCCTCTTCACCCTCCTCATCCTCCTGCCCCCCCCTTAAGCTGCCGCCTTCTCCACCGTCCAGCTCCCTGTCGTCCTCCCATTCGCTCACCTCGTCCTGCCTTTCCTCTGCCTGCTTCAGGGCTGCCCGTCGCGCCCTCTTTACATTCCTCCTCACCCCGCCTTCCCCCTCCATGACTTCAGCGCTTCTCTTCCCTCCCCCCCCTGCCGATGTACGCTTGCTACTCCTCCTCGTCATTGCCTTCCCGCCCTGTCGCTCGGGCCACCCTTCCTGATCTCTGTCGACTCCGGCCCCTTTCTTAAAGTCATCCTCCCGCCACACAACCTCCCTCCCCCTCCGAGCCTCCGCCTCTTTTATCATCGCGGACGAGGAGAGCGCGCCCTCCTCCGGCCCCACCACCGCCTCCAGGCTCCCCGTCCTCACACACTCCGCCACCCGGGAGCTCAAGTATCGCTTGATCCTGACGCGGAGCCTGTTCAGGTCGCTGAGTCGAAACCAGCCCCCTTGGGGGGAACAGAGGGCCTTGCGCGGCAACCCTAGCACGAGCTCCTGCAAAGACGCTCCGCCCAAGTCGCAGAGCTGGAAGACCATCTGCCGACGCACGGGCAAGCCGAAGAGCTGGAGCTCCGACCCTGTCCTTCCAGCTTGCGGGCCGGCTACCTCTTCTCCTTCCTTTCCCTCCCCATCCTGGGCGCCCGCCTCTTCCTCCTCCTTCGCCGCGGCCCCGTCCCCCCTTTTCCCCTCCCCTTTCCGCCGCACCTGCTCGTAGGCCCGCTTTACCTTCTCCAAGCCCGCTTCCTTCCAGCGTACATCCAGGGCCTGGTAGAAGCGAGCCACGGGGTCCAGGCTGGGGTCGTACCCGTACCGGACCCACAGGCCCCGCCAGGGCCCGTTCGACATGTTGTAGGCGACCACGCGCAGGAGCTCCAAAAAGGCGTGCTGGAGGCCCTCCTTTTCGAACTGGGACTCGAGCGCCTTCCGTTGCCACATTTCCCGGCCCCCACGTTCCTGTGGCACGGGCAAGTTGGGGGCCGAAGCCGAGAAGGCATGAATGGTCCTTGTCCATGATTGCAAGCATGCTCGTCTCTTGCACGGGCATCCCCTTCCCTTCCGTCGCGTACCCTCCCCACTCACCCGATCGAAAAGCGCCTGCAATTTTTCCAGCACCTGCCCGTACTTCTCCGACCGCCGCCGGGGCCGGTTCACCAACATGGCCGGGGGGGCTTTGGGGATGGGGCACCCGTACCGGATAACAACCCCTTGCCGTCGCGCCGTGTCGTGGGAGGCTAACGCCGAAGATTTCAGGCTTACGTACGCGTAGTTCCCTGCGTGTGCTACCGGGATAAAGGAAGGAGGGACGATCTCCAAGCGGGCCTGAGAAACCAGGTCTGGGGTGCCCGGAGGCAAAAATGCTTGAGTGGTCAAGTACTGGAAGTCCGCCAAACACCGAAATTGGAAGGTGGTGCTCACAGTACCCACGACCTCGGTATGAACCGCATAACGCTGGCCCGTAATTTGCTTTCTGCGGACACGCACACGCAGCAGGAGCCTAGAGGCTGGTATTTTGGGCTGAGAGGAGATGGGAATGCTTAGTTCGTCGCCGGGTCGGAATGAGAATTGGAGCTTGCGGGTCTTCCCTGTGCAAGCTGCACTCAGCCTGTCTAACCCTCCGAGCATGCTTACTGCCGTCATCGGCCGTGAGCACAGCACGGGAAGATCCACTGCCAGAAGTCGTTTTAGTTTCAAAGGTTCACCAGGCTTGGAGGTTTCAAGGCGGACGGTGGCATGGTCTTTCTTGGAGGTTAAGGGTAATATTCCTCCTTCCGCCTCCATACAGGTCTCCGCAGGGCAAATATTAGAGGCTACACAAATCCCTTGTTCTCCAGCTGTCAATTTCACATTAACCGAGTCCTCCCTTTGTTCAGAAGGCGCTAGCACATCTGAAGCTCTTGTCGCTCTTTGCGTTGGCAGGATTTCCATGAAGAAGTATCTTGCAGCCTTTCCAGTGGCCTACTGCTAACTGTCATGTGCATTATATTGATCCAATGTACCGAAAACCAAAAAGTCTTAGATAATGTCAAGAATGTTATTGTTCCTGCGGAGGTATTTTCCTGTGACTTACTGCAGCAGAAGCATCGTTCGCTGACTTGCGTGCAATTCGATTATTTTTCGTGTAAATCTTGGTGCAGTACGACAACGACGAGTTCATGCATTTACCAGACAAATCGCAAAAAAGAGACTGACACGGTCCCATACCTGCGGAGGGCTGTGACTTTTGTTTCATAAACTTGGCCCCTTTCTAAGTGCCCCCTTCAAGCTAGTAAGCGTCCCGATCCTCTGCATCCCCATCACGGGTCCGACACACAAAATGTGCCACGAAGTCCAATCTTCATACACATGACCTTTTTCAGAAATCGAAGCAGTCCCACAATTTATGATTTTACGTCACGAGTACTGTTGCGCAGGTTGCAGATATTTAGGTCACTATCGCCGAGTTTCCACAGAAATAGCACAAAATACACCGATTCCCTTACACCCACCATAAAAATACGTTCCAGAATCGGTGACTGTCGTAGCCGTAACCATAATTTATAATTAAAAAAAGGTAATCTTATAAGAGATATGTTTTGAAAGAGGAAATTCAAGCAATACCTTTACGCGCATGTGATATCTTTACGCGCATGTGCAATTGTCGCAAGACACAGTCTGTTTCTTGCTTTCAATGTAAAAACTTAACCTGTATCTTGCTTTTTAGGCACTCCAGGAGGACGAAATACAATGATGTGGCTAAGAAAAAGTCATATTCATTCAGTTTCGGGGCAAAACAATGCCAGTCGCGATTACGATCTCCTCTCATGTCTCAGTCAACTGTGTGAGGGATCCATCACATTTCCCCAGCCCTCTGTCATGTCTGGGAAGGATGGCCTAATGGATACTCTACCAAACCCGTAGAAGGATTCCGAATGTATCGCCTTTCGGATTCCTTGATACGAACGTCATTTATGCTGGCATCTCGTCGCTTCATTAAGCCTATTGCGGGATGGAAAGGGACAATACCATATTGGGATACTTGTCCCTCTGGCAAAGTTTATTGCCGGTTCAAGATCAATCATTCTACGCTCCACGGAAACAATTTTTTCCTGGCGTATGCAGGCTTCTAACAAGGCTTTGTGCGTCGTTGTGCATGACTGTGACGTACCCTTCGCATCGTATTCCCATTGCTCGTTCCCGTGTGATCGCCACCATTGACCCTGCCCGTCGTGCCATTCGTACTCAAATCGGGCGCTGATTCGATTACCATGAAAACCCCAGAGCTCTTTCATCAGACAATAATCGCGCTCTTTCGCCCACTTTTTCCGCAGAAATGCTCTGATTGCCTTGTGTGCATAGGAAGTGCAGAGACACGCATCAGAGATTGCACAGTCTTCACCACTCTTGGAAGGTAAAGATGCCAGGCCCGCTACTTACCTCACGACCCTGGAAAAATTCGTCTCGGTTCCGCCAGTTGCTGTCGGGTGTGTCTATCGAACGTGACAGCGAAAAGGAGGTTGAGAAATGAAGAGAAGGATGACCAGAACCCGAGTTCAGCCACAAGACGTACATGCTAGAGCTACGACGTCAGGATTTCGAGTATTCCAAGCGTCTTGTGCCTTTCGAACCTAATGAGAGGACTAAATTGTCAAGCTAGATCATAAAACCACTTGTTGCGGGTGTGTAAGGAATTACCTTTTCAGTGGCTGTTTCAAATGTGTAAGGGGGAAAAGGTGGGCGAGCTTCAGGGTTGTTGGAAGCGCCAGTACTGGAGGTAAATTGTCGTTCGCTATATGTGAAATGCTTGGAAACTGCACGCAATGCAGCAATTCTCGGGGTTATCCGAGCAGCAGCTGCTCCTGCACATACACGGCGTGAGATAGGGGATTCCACGCGCGCGCAGGCCTGTTGCAACATACCTAAACACCTACGTGTAACATGCGCGTAGCAAACGAGCAAATGAGTATGAGCATTGTGCACAGATTAGAATTGGATCACGAATACATTTGACGGTAAAACAGAACACTGCACACTCAATTACAGAAATACAGAGGCCGTCAGGATACCCTCGTTGAACCTCCTGGCTCCTTCCCTTCGGAACGAGTAGCCCGTTTCCAATCCTTCCTTTTTTTCGATGGCTTGCCGGTTCACACCGAATCCACTAATTTAAGCCATCAAAGGACAAGCTTCCCTAATTTTGGGTAAACATACGATATCCGCCGCATGACTATTAAGTTGGGAAGGGAACCTCTTCGTTGATGCGGTATTCAACAGGTAAAGGGAAAGCCGCCCCCAATCGACCTTTTCTCGATTTCTCACTTCCTTACTTTGGTGTCGTAAAACCCCCAAAAATTAAAAAAAAATGATTGAAAGGTAGAGATATGAAAGAGTAGAAGAGTATCTTTAAAGAATCATTAACAAACATAAATGTCCACTTGTTACGTTCAGGTTATCCCAGGACATACATGACATTTGTCAGACAAATAATGACACTTCAGAACCCTGTGACTCACTTAACCACAACTACACGCGCTCACAGAGACACAAACAGGGAACAGGGGTACGGATCACGTCGTGCCGGTCAACAATCAGAGGCAAACATGCATGCGATCTTTTCGAGAAAAGCTTTTCGATCATCGTCTGCTATAGTCTTCCTCTGATTCAGCACAAGGAAGACGATTTTGCAGTCGCCGCTCATTTCTTCTCGTCTTTGACCGGGATGAAACGCCAGATGACCGCCAGAGTCGAGCCTGTTACAGCCATCCACACCACGGAGACGGCGGGGGGAACCCGGACCAAGAAATTAGGAAAGTGGAGGCTAGCCAACAGGAATCCGAAAGCGGACGATTTCATCGCGGTCTCAATCGCCATAGTCCGGGAGTCCGTCTCAGAAAATTTCAGGAAGCGCGGGATGGCATATCCAGCGACCCCAGCGACCAGATGGTAGAAGATGGTGGCGATTTGCAGGCTCCACCCCGCGCCCAGAATGGCCGGGGCGCACTGCGCGACCGCGGAGGCAACCAAGAGGCAGGTTGAGACCATGCCCACCACGGGGGAGAAGGGCAGCACTGCTTTGACGGCCCGGTTCAAGAACTTGTTGGCCAGCATACCCAGGACAATGGGAGCCAGGACGACTTGAACGGTGGAGAGGGCAATGCCCACGGCATCGACGGGGACGATGGCCCCGAGGAGGAACTTGCAGAGGAGGGGTGTCATGAAGATGGCGCCCAGGGTGGTGGCTGTGGTCATCATCACGGACAGAGCCACGTCGCCCTTGGCAATGTAGGTGCACAGGTTCGAGGCCTGCCCCCCGTTGATGCTCCCGACCAGGACCAGGCCGGCGACCATCTCGGGGCTCAGGGCGAAGCCTTGCGCCGTGGCGTAGGCGAAGGCGGGCATGAACAAGTAGCAGAAGATGAAACCCACCAGTACGGCCGAGGGTCGCTTGAGGACGTCCGCGAAGTCCTGCGGTGAGAGGGTGATGCCCATGGAGAGCATGAGAAGCCCCAGTCCCCAGGTAAAGTACTTGGTGGTGAACCAGGCGAAGAGCTCAGGGCGGTAGAGGGCAAGGCCCGAGGAGAGCACGGTCCAAATGGGAAAAAGGTTGACGATCAGCTCACTGCCCTTCTCGTACATTTCAAAGGCGGTCATTTTTTTCTTGGGGGCCATGTCTGCTGCGCTGGATGCCAGTGCTGTTGAGGACTTGGTAGGCAGGGAGACGGCGGCCTTGCGGGCAGCGGACAAGAAGCGCCACGCTCCATTGGCACCCATCGCTGTGCTCAAAGCCATGCTAGGAGATGCGCGGCTTCGATGAATCCTGGACATGGCAGGGTCCAACTTGGCGACAAAGGAGGCGTTGGGGGGCCGGCGTCATGAAGCCATTCACGACGCTTAGGATCGCGGCCGCTGAGAGAACGACGACACTGGTAAGCAATTTCATGGCTGGCTTCTTGTTTCACTTCTAGCTACCGCGAGGAAGGACGCACGTGTCTGTTTGCACAATATCGATAGGACATGGGGGTGTCATGAGGCTTAAAAGGAGAAGGAGACAACTACAGCGAAAGTCGTGACGGGACAGGAAGAGGCATGCGGCCAAGAAAAAGACACGCAGACACTTCGTACGACAGGCAATAGCCTGCCACCAACACAGCAGAAAGATTGTGCGTTCTACATGACTTCGCATGTAAGGGCATAGTTAAAGACACTATTTAGACTGGGCTTTTAAGAGGAGTTTCTTTCGCTTTCCTTTCAGATAAGCTGTTTTGTCAGTGTTCGTGACAGGTGATGAAGCAGAGCTCTTGGCATGAAAAGCCAACACTTGAGAGCAGGCAACGTCCATACAATCATAGGGACTTATGACCATATATTGCTCTGGCTAGGGCGTGTCGTAAGTCAGGTAACCCATGGCCTCCTCGCGCTTTTTCGTGAGCCAGACTTCGTGGCTGATGGAAAATTGAAGCACTTCTTACTTTAACAGCTCACCGATTTGCCAAAGCACTGAATGATAGCATGACTTGTGGGTGTAAACCCAGTGGGAAGGCCGGACAGGGCGAAGGCTCGCTGACCTGAGGCGTGCACGGGCAATCCTCCTGCCGCGTCGACCAGTGCGCTCAAGATACGTCCTTGCAGTATCCCTACCATACTGTCGGACAGCTTTCAAAAGAAAGCTCCCACCATGCGCGGTGCCATAATTGCTTTTCACACCAGAGTTTGCTAAAAAACTCAGGACTCGACATCTACTCGCACGAAACTTCAGAGATCGCGTGAGACGCCATGACGAGACCTCGGGTGATGATCGCTATGCCTCGCCATGCCTCGCCATCATCTCTTTGATGATGCGATGCAAGAGGTACCCTCGATGTGCTTTGTTCGGAGCCTGTGTCGTCATTCCTACCAGGGGTCACCACATAGGGTCACCAATCATTAGTGAGATTCTTTTCATGAATAAACAAAAAAGCTTGAGCTATTAGGGACGACTCGACAAAATACGTGGGCCCTCTCTTGGGGGCTGAAACTAGGCGATTCGGGCCCAAATTGTTCCGCGATGATGATGATGATGATGTGATGCAAGGTGCACCCTCCTCTTCCCCCGACAAACCGACTTCGAGAGGGCAGGGCGGCTTCAGCCTGCTCATCTTCTCCTTCTGGGAAGCATGTCTGTGGAGATCCGTGTCCCTGCACCATGCTACGAAGTATGATTCCAATGAGAAGTAATGTGAAAGTATAGTGAAATAGCGCGACACACCGCGTACCTAGCTTGTTCAGGGTAGCGACAAGTTATTTTTCTGTGTATCCTGTTAAGAAACCGTGCGGGCTTTACTGATTGCGCACTCATTTCCGAAAGCATTCCATATCACACTCTCCGTCTTGTATAGGGAACAGTTAAAGGAAGAGGGACACTCATTTGTTCACACCCTCGATTCCTTTTGGTAAAGGGAAGGCTAAGAAGACGTCTAACAAGTAAGTATATACCGGTCAGCCATGAACGGTGGCAGATGATAAAAGGGCACCTAGTTCGGGCAATGCTTTCACTCGACAGGGCTATCGCGTGGCAGTGTTGAGTAACGACGGGCCTGTCGCCTCACAGCAATTACTGCAGCTGAATTGTGTCGCTTAAAAGCGTGGTACCTCGTTTGACCTTTGTATGTGTGATCGATCACATTGCGGCTATCATATCCTTTTTTCGGAAAAGGGAAACTGAAATTGTGATGATAATAGTGGCAGTTCTGTGTAGCGCTTGATTTTAGTTGTTCAGTGCCACAAGAGCTGGCGAGAGGTGTGAGGCAAAAAATCTGAAAAAAATATTTCTGTCGATCATGTGTGTAATAGAAATCGTACCTTGGCTGTCATGCCGTGTGTGCTGAAGCTCGAAATGTGAATGCGCCCTGATTCCGCTCCTCTTCTCGTGTTGCCTGTACTTTCTGACGCATGGAGCCTCACTTTCTTCCTAGGCCTCAGCCATGGGAGTTCCCAAGTTTTACCGCTGGCTATCGGAGCGGTACGTATCGGTCAACCAAGTCATCTCGGACCTGTCACTGCTCCCAGAATTCGACAACTTATATCTGGATATGAACGGCATCATCCACGCGTGCACGCATCCGAACGACCAAGAGGTCTGCCAGGGGCTCAGCCAGGAGGAAATGATGAAGAACATTTGGAACTACGTGGACCGCATTGTGACACAGATCGTAAAGCCTCAAAAGCTTCTCTACGTGGCCGTGGATGGCGTGGCGCCGCGCGCAAAGATGAATCAACAAAGATCACGCCGCTTCCGTGCCGCCAAAGACGCGGCCGAAGCGCGTGAAGAAGCGGGGAAGAGGGGCGTCTCCGTGGACGAGGCGACAGTCTTTGATTCGAACTGCATCACGCCAGGCACCGAGTTCATGGCGGTGGTGGATGCACACCTCCAGTACTTCATCCGGAAGAAGATGCGGGAAGACCCGCTCTGGCGGCGCCTGACCATAATTTACTCGGGGCACGCCATACCCGGGGAGGGGGAGCACAAGATCATGCAGTACATGCGGGATTTGAAGGCCTCGCCCTCCTATCAGGCCAATGTACGGCACTGCATGTATGGGCAGGACGCCGACCTGATCATGCTGGCGCTTGCCACGCACGAGCCGCATTTTACCCTCCTGAGGGAGGTGATCGACTTCGGGCGAGGCCGGGCTGGGCCGGGCGGCTCGTCTGCCAACACGGTGATCAAACAGACGAAGGAGGCGAGTTTCCAGTTGCTGCACCTGTCCATCTTGCGCGAGTACCTGGAATTTGAGTTCCTGAGGGACGTGCCGGAAGAGGAAAGGGAGGTGCACTTGGAACGCATCGTGGACGACTTCGTCTTTTTGACCTTCTTGGTCGGCAACGATTTCCTCCCCCATCTGCCCTCCCTGGACATTAGTGAGCACGCTTTTGACAAGCTCTTCGAGCTC